GCTGTCCGGGCGCTTCCTGCGCAGGATCCGGCGCTGGGAACACCCGCCAGGGCCCTGGATCCGACCGCGCTCCCGCCCTGCCCCGGGCCCACGCGGGGCGTGCAGCCCATCCCGCCGTGGGGACCCCCCTGCCGTGGGTGCTGGACCCTTCCCATGGGGTCACCTCCCCTGGTGTGATGAGTTTGGCTTCTCAGCGGGGTCCCCACGGAAGGGCTGGGTGCTTGTCCTGGGCTGTCTCCCGTGGGTGCTGCCCCCCACCTTGGTGGGGTGGGGGGACCTGTGTGGAGTTCCCCCCTGGGTGCCCCCCTACCCTTGTCCCTTCCAGGGAGTGCTGTGGGGTGGGAAGGGGGTGCCAGGGAAGGGGGGACGCCTGGATGAGCCCTGGGGTGCAGGAGGGTGGGTGTGGTGGCAGGGGGCCTGAGCACAGACCCTGTCCCCCACTGTCCCCCCTATCCCACCAGCCAGCACACTCCCTGCCAAAAAAAGCTGCTTTTTGGGAGGCTGCCCTGGCCTCTGCCCCACTGGGCTGGGCCCTCCCTGCTAGGCTGGCATGAGGTGCCAGCACCCCCAGGATGACAGGGTGGCCTTTGTCCCCTTTAGTGTCCCATGTCCCCCTGCCCTGAGCATCCCCAGTCCTGGACTAGGGGCTCCAGGGGGCAGAGGATAAGCCCCAAGGCCCTGATGGGGCCAGTTTTGGGATGTGGCACATCCTGACACCCCCTTGTCCCCAGCCCAGGGTGCTGGTGTGGGAAGCAGAGATGTCCCAGGCTTGGGGGCAGTTGTGGTCTCACCTCCCCACCCCACGTCCCTGCAGCCAAATTGAAGCTGTCTCAGCTCCTGAAGCAGTTGAGACCTGTCAGGTTTGTTCCACTTGTGGATGGGGCTGCTTAGGGCCCCCAAAAAAACATCTGCAGCCCCACACCAGGGCTGGGCCAGCTCCTCTCCTGAGGGACAGTGTGACAGGTGGCACCCGAGCCATCAGGAACCCTCCGGGTGCCCTTGGGCTGCTCTGAGCCCCGGGGAGCCCCGTGCCTCAGTTTCCCCTTCCCCCTGGCAGAGCTGCCGCCCTCCGAGTTCATGCAGGTGGCGGATTCGACGTGGCTGGTGCTCAGTGTGGTCTCCAACGGGCGGGCAGCCTCGGGCTCCCAGGCCACCGGTGTCACCAAGATCGCCCGGTCGGTCATCGCGCCGCTGGCCGAGCACCACGTCTCCGTGCTCATGCTCTCCACCTACCAGACCGACTTCATCCTGGTGAGCAGTGACGGGGACACCTGGTTCCTGCTGTCCCTGCCGGCGGGGCTGGGGGTGGCAGAGCCTGATGGTGCCCCCCCCTGCTCCCCGGGCAGGTGCGGGAGCGGGACCTGCCCGTGGTGATCCACACGCTGGCCGGGGAGTTCGACATCTACAGGGAGGAGAGCGGGGAGTGTGTCCCTGTCACCTGCGATGACGTGAGCAACGGATTCCTGAAGCCCAAGCCAGGTGAGTGACACCACGTCCCACACCCCCCCAGGGCCACCCTGTCCCCAGGGCCACCCTGTCCCCAGGGCCACGCGCTCCCCACCGAGATGCTCCCACCTTGGCACCCACATCCCCGGGGGGGACGCTCGGGGACACCCCTCTTGCTCCCTCAGGGATGCTGGGCTGTGGCGGCGGCCACAGGGTGGCACTGCGGGACTGTCCCCAAGCTGTCCCTCGTGCCTGACGGGTGGCTGTCCCCCCGCCAGCCACCAGCCCCACGCTGCACCCTGTGCAGAGCCCCCAGACCCGCTTCTGCGTCCTGACCGTGGCCCCCGACACGCTGCCCGCCCTC